GCAGTCTACCGAGGGTGACAGCTTGAGACTCTGTCTCCAGGAAAAAAAAAAAAAAAAAACAACCAACAATCCCATATATTACAGGGTGAGAGTCATGAATAGAACCTTTGTTTTCTAAAAAAGACAGATGAATGGCTAACAAACATATGAAAAAATGCTCATCGTCCCTAATCATCAGAGAAATGCAAATCAAAACTACCCTGAGATATCACCTAACCCCTGTGAGAATGGCCCACATCATAAAGTCTCAAAGTTGCTGATGCTGGTGTGGATGTGCAGAAGAGGGAACACTTTTACACTGCTCATGGGACTGCAAACTAATACAACCTTTTGGGAAGGAAGTATGGAGACTCTTCAGAGAACTCAAATTAGACCTCCCATTTGATCCTGCAACAATCCCATTACTAGGCATCTATGCAGAAGAAAAAAAAATCTTTTTATCATAAGGATATTTGCGCTAGACTTTTATCAAAGCTCAATTTACAATTGCCCAAATGTGGAAACAGCCTAAATGCCCACCAACCCAGGAATGGATTAACAAGCTGTGGTATATGTATACCAGAGAATACTATTCAGCCACTAAAAAAGATGGAGACTTTACATCTTTTATATTAATCTGTATGGAGGTGAAACACATTCATCTTAGTAAAGCAAGAATAGAGAGGAGGGTGGCACCTGTGGCTCAGAGGGTAGGGCGCCAGCCCCATATACTAACAGTGGCAGGTTTGAACCCAGCCCCAGCCAAACTGCAACAAAAAAATGGCTGGGCATTGTGGGTGCCTGTAGTCCCAGCTACTCAGAAGGCTGAGGCAAAAGAGTCACCTAAGCCCAAGAGCTGGAGGTTGCTGTTAGCTGTGACGTCACACACTCTACTGAGGGTGACAAGGTAAGACTCTGTCTCAAACAAACAAACATTAACAAAAAAAGAATGGAGAGGCAAGAATCTGATGTACTCTATTCTAATATGAAGGTAGTAGATGACCTAATACAAGGGGGCGTAAGGGAATGAGCAAGTAGGGAGAGGAAAGCAGGGAGGGGGATGGGGTACACCTCTTGGGGGTGGGTGGGATATAATCATAAGAGGACTTTATCTAACAAATGCAATCAGTGTGGGTGGTGCCTATGGCTCAGTGGGTAGGGTGCCAGCCCCATATACCAAGGGTGGCCAGTTCGAGCCCAGCCCCTGCCAAACTGCCACAAAAAAGTAGCCGGGCATTGTGGTGGGCACCTGTAGTCCTAGCTACTTGGGAGGCTGAGGCAAGAGAATCACGTAAGCCCAGGAGTTGGAGGTTGCTGTGAGCTGTGTGACACCACGGCACTCTACTGAGGGCAATAGAGTAAGACTGTCTCTACAAAATACACACACACACACACACACACACAAATGCAATCAGTGTAACCTAATTCTTTGTACACTCAATGAATGCCAAACAATAAAAAAATAATAATAAAGGACCTGTTCTAATCAATGTCTGTTTTCATCACATCCTTTAGTGCAAGCAGTTGCAGTTATTGCTCACCATTTCTGGCAAAAGAGTTCTGACATTATAGCTCTATTTTACTTTATTACAAAAATGCTGATGAAATTTATTAATTTCATGACCCACCAATTTTATAACCCACAAGTTTTTTTTTTTTTTTTGAGACAGAGCCTCAAGCTATCCCCCTGGGTAGAGTGCCGTGGCATCACAGCTCATAGCAATCTCCAACTCCTGGGCTCAAGCGAGTCTCCTGCCTCTGCCACCCAAGTAGCTGGGACCACAGGCGCCCGCCACAGCGCCTGGCCATTTCTTGGTTGCAGCCATCGTTGTTTGGCGGGCCCGGGCTGGATTCGAACCCGCCACCCTAGGTGTATGTGGCTGGTGCCTCAGCCACCTGAGCCACAGGCACCGAACCGACCCACAAGTTTAAAAAAGATACAGGTATATGAAATAAGGAGCCAAGAGCAGCTAAGCTCAACAGTTCATTCATAAATAACAAACATTTGCCATAGAAGAAAGAACAGAAATATCTTTTCTCTATGCTCCAAAGGAATGGGAAAACTCTGGTCTCTGAGAAGTCCCAAACCCTTGAACAAGTGGGCAGAGGCCAGGGATGCTACAAAACATTTTAAAATGCACAGAACAGCCCTTACATGACCCCAAAATGTCAATGCCACAGAGATTGAGAAAGGCTGCCAAATTATAGGGGGCGCCCATCCTCACCCACTGAGACCAAGTTCCTGAAGTTTTCCAGCATCACTTCTCGGTACAGCTTCCTCTGGGCAGAGTCCAACAGCCCCAGCTCTTCCTCAGTGAAGGCCACAGCTACATCCTTGAATGTCACTGCCTCCTACAACATCAAGCAAATGTAACCTCAATCTTATACCCAGTGGCCACTGGCACCTGAACCACTCTTTTAGTAGAGTTCCTACTCTTCCCTCTCCATAATCAAACCAAAAATACTACTGAAAAAAAGGAAAAGAAAAAAATCTAGTACGTGTAACGTGGTGCCCATTATATATTTAAGTCCCCAGAACTGCCATTGTTAAATCATGGTGTATACACATTTTACAACTTGACAATGCCAAATTTTATTTTAAAAGGTTGTTAACTTCTTCTCAATAGTGTTTGACAGTGCCTATCTCCTCTTCCTAGGTAGAACCACTATTTTGTCAATGCTGGTCAATTCAACTGGCCTTCATTAAAACTCTGGGCACTTTATTTTCGGTGTTCTTTGAACTTTTTGTTTGTTTGTTTGTTTTGTTTTATTTTTGGCTGGGGCTGGGTTTGAACCCGCCACCTCTGGCATATGGGGCCGGTGCCCTAGTCCTTTGAGCCACAGGTGCCACTATTTTTGGTGTTCTTAAGAACATGCTTTATCTGTCAATTGTAGCAGCATTAAGAGCCAAGGTTAAGAGAACAGGCCCTGGAGACTGACTGCCTTCACATTTCAAGGCTCTGTCCATTTCTAGTTCTGTGACCTAGACCTTGGACAAGTTTCCTAACTTTTTAGTACCTCAACGTCCACATCTGTATAACAGGAACTACATTATAGAGTCCCTGAAGGAATTAAATAAGTAGAATATAAGTAAGAGATTAGGACAGTGTCTGAAATTATAGTAAGTACTCAATAAATATCAGCCATTACTCTAATCATCCATTTCATCCCATTCATGGCTGCACGGTATTCATGCAGTAATGATCTAAAATGTATTTAATCATTCCAAATAATGCAGAATTCAATTGTTTTAAATTTTAAAATTATAAATAATGCTGCAAAATACACAGTTTTACATAGATCTTAGCCAATATGTCAGGTTATTTCCTTAGGATAAATTCCAAGTAGCAATTGCATTGTCAAAAAATATGCATCTTGGCGGTGCCCATAGTTCAGTGGGTAGGGTGCCAAACAGTTATACCCAGGCAGGCAGGTTCAAACCCGGCCTGGGCCAGCTAAACAATGACAACTGCAACAAAAAAAAGAGCCAGGTGTTGTGGCGGGTGCCTGTTCCCAGCTACTTGAGAGGCTGAGGCAAGAGAATTGCTTAAGCCCAAGAGTTTTTTTTCCTTTTTAAGAGACAGAGTTTGACTTTGTTGCCCTTGGTAGAGTGCCCTGGTGTCACACAGCTCACAGCAACTTCCAACTCCTGGGCTTAGGTGATTCTCTTGCCTGGCTGTGTTCCAACCCGCCACACTCAGTTTATGGGGCTAGTGCCCTACTTACTGAGCCACAGACACAACCTTAAGCCCAAGAGTTTGAGGTTGCTGTGACAACCTCAGGGTTGTCTACCCAGAGCGACATAGTGACACTCTGTCTCAAATAAATAAATAAATAAATAAATAAAATAACACAGTTACTGCCAATGTCTTTAACATGGCAAAATTCATATACCACATAAATATGGAGAATTAGAAAAAATAAAATTACGTAAAAACTATGGAAAACTATTTAACAATTTATGTGAAGGCAGGCCGGGCACTGTGGCTCACGCCTGTAATTCTAGCACTCTGGAAGACTGAGGTGGGTGGACTGCCTGAGCTCAGGAGTTCAAGACCAGCCTCAACAAGAGTTGAGACCCAGTATCTATAAATAATTGGCATTGTGGGGGTACCTATAGTCTCAGCTACTCAGGAGGCTGAGGCAAGAGGATTGCTTGAGCCCAAGAATTTGAGCTTGCTGTGAGCTATGATACCAAAGCACTCTACCTAGGGTGACAGCTTGAGACTGTCTCAAAAAAAAAAAAAAAAAAAGGTGATATCGGATTAAATTTTAGCATTGTAAAATTATACCTAAAGTATGATTATGAATGTATAACTGAATACAAATGAAAAGGACTGTGGAAAAATAATCTGTAAACATGCTTATAATATGGGAGTTGTTTTCCATTTTTAAGATATAATTTTTTTTTTTGAGACAAGAGTCTTACTTGTTGCCTTTGGTAGAGTACCCTGGTGTCACAGCTCACAGCAACCTCAAATTCTCAGACTCAAGAGGTTCTTTTGTCTCAGCCTCCAGAGCAGCTGGGACTACAGGTGCCCACCACAACACCCAGCTATTATTATTATTATTATTATTATTTTAGAGACAGGGTCTTGCTCTTGCTCAGGCTGGTCTTGAACCCATGAGCTCAGGCAATCCACCTGCCTCGGCCTCCCAGAATGCTAGGATTACAGGTGTGAGCCACCACACCCAGCCAAGATATAATTTTTTATTTATTTTTAATTATTTGTTATTAAATCATAACTCTGTACATTGATGCATTTATGGGATTCAGGGTACTGCTTCAATATACAATGAAAGATATAATTTTAATACTGTTAATATTATTTGGAAGTAAAAGACAAGAACCTGGCATATAACAATTTTTCAAATGCCTTTGTTTCCCTTTTGCCCTTTGCAAACAAGAGAAAAACATGTCCAGTGTTTGTGAAATGAGATGTCATTTTAGGGAGCAGAAAGGCAAACCAAACTCACCTGGAACTTGGTCATTTTTCTCCTCTTCCTTCCGGGAAATGGCAGAGTTCTGGAAAGGTGAAACTGGGGAAAAGACATCGTGAGTTAGGCTGGGAGTGCCATTAGTCCAAAGGGCAATTCATGTGAACAGAAAGAGAAGTCCTTTTCCTAGGCAGACAAAGCTGCACACAACTCAGTGAGAACAGGAGCTGGATTCTAGGTACATCTGGACCCCCTGGGCCAATTCCTTTTGTTCATGAAATATCCGTAAAATAGTCTTAACCCAAATATTTCTTGCAGCTTCCTGATTATTCCTTTCAAACCTGTGTATTACAGGAAATGAGAGACAGATAGGCAGAGTAATGGAATGCAGCCAAAATGCTTGGCTTCGAATTCTGGCATCTCTACTTACTTTCTAAGCTAGAAAAGTCCAGGAATTCAGGTACAGCCCCCCATCGGGCAAAGATGGAGAAAGGACAGTCACTCTGCAGCTGGAGTTCTGACCTCATCCCGGGCTCCGACAAGCTTCCAAACAATAGGCGCCTGTTTTAAGTACTACCACAGAATTAACGGTAGCATCCAACAATTTGCTACGTACAGGATACTGTTTCTAAGCGCTCTATATAATCTCATTTAATTCTCACAAGAACATCATCGGAAACGCACTAACCCTTTACAGCGGTGAGGAAACTAAGACAAGGACAGATTAAGTAAGTTGCCCAATATTTTACAGCAAAGGGGAGAGAGAACTGGTTGGTATGTCTGGGAGGAGAGTCGGGGCACCGGAGAGCCCGAGAGACCCTCAAACTCCAAGCTCGAGGCAAGCCCGCCCGGCGACCAAGCAGGTTCCCCCGAAGGGAGGCAAACTCCCGCCGCCTCCCAGCCCCGCCCTCCACCTGTGGCCGCAGCTTCCCAACCCAACCCAAGGACCAGGTCACTGCTGGCCCCACGCCCAGGACGAGAGGCTCGAAGAGGTCGCCGGGACCGGGGACTGACTCACCACCCCGGGAGCAATCCAGTATCCGACCTCGCCTTCTTGGAGCGGAAGTGCCTCGGCCTGCACGCAGTCACTAAACTTCACTTCCCAGAATCCCTAGGCGGAAGCGCCTCTGCGTTCTCTCGCCTCCTGGACTACATTTCCCAGGAGGCCGGAAGGATGGCGCCTCGCCCTGGCGGGCTTTTTCTGTCCAACGAAGGCTTCGGTATGAGTTAGTTCTGTGCTGTAACTGGCAGATGCCTTTTTGTTTTATTCATTTTTAAAAGCTCGTAAGAAAATAATATGTAGGAGTATATAGGAGAAAGACGAAGCTTGTCTTCTTAAGATAAATTAAAACAACAATTTTAGGGGAAGCCAAAGGGGAAGCCAAAAATGGGAACCGTTAAAGTGACTTAGGCTGAGCTGCAGTGGACACGGAACGTGAGGAACTTTGTATCTCAAGCTTGTATGGAGTGCCAGCTCCCCAAATACCACCAATTCAACGTGTTTTCAAAGAAAAAACCAGTTTATGTCGCAGTAAGGGAGAGCAATACCTCGACAGAGCAAAGAGTCAAGACAAGGGTGGAATTTATTGAAAATTGAAAGTTAGGTTTAAGTAGGGTGACCAGATTTTAACATTGGTAAAGCGGGACAACATGGGGGGGGGGTAGCGGGGAAGGGCAGGGCCTGACAACAATGCAAACTTTGATCAGTTCTCTATAATCACTTCTCAACGATTATTTGTTATTATTACAGTTTAACATTATAAAATTAACAAAAATAATATAAAACTTATATCCTTGCGAAATAGCCACATGGCAGCCGAAAACCGTATATTCCTTTCCTGTTCTGCCGGTTCATGCATTCTTTCCAAAAATTGAGACTTTTTTAAAACGCTGTGGGACTTGGGACAAATTGTTAAAAAGCGGGACGTCTGGTCACCCTAGTTTAAGGCGAGTGGGTATATCAAGGCAGGGGATCTGATCAGGATTGAGTAATGATCATGATACTACAGTCAAGGACTGATGTAAATAACATGGATTTTTGAGGCAAGGAATCATAAGGTTCAGTCTGTTGATCTTTGGAAGAAATTGAACAGTCAATGGGCCTTTATAGAAGTGCCTGTAATGAATATTCAAGCAGTTTGCTTGGGCTGGAATATCCTGGGATAAAGTCATGCTGATGAAGACAGCTGAATAGTCATGTTGGTGTAGAAACTGTATTTCAGGAGGAGAGGGTGGAAATTTTTCAGTCTTTAGTGTCCAAGCTGTGTATGTCTTGGGGATGGAATAGGAGGAGAGAAGGGAGTAAAGTGTTCACTTCTTTTATTCCATAAGGCATGCAAGGGCTCTTGGCAGTGTTTTGTGGAATGAGCTATTCATTCCAATATGTTAAGAACCCACAAAAAGACTATACAAACATTGATTAAACCAGAGAAAGACCTTGAACGAACTTCCTTCCTCCTCCCTCACTCCCTCCCTTCTCTCCCTTTCTTTTTCTTTATTTCTCATTCTCTCTTTTTTTTTTTTGAGACAGAGTCTTAAGCTGTCACCCTGGGTAGAGTGCCGTGGTGTCACACCTCACAGCAACCTCAAACTCTTGGGCTCAAGCAATCTCTTGCCTCAGCCTCCCAAGGAGCTGGGACTACAGGTGCCCACTACAACGCCCAGCTATTTTGTTTTTGTTGTTGCAGTTGTCATTGTTGTTTTAGCCGGCCCAGGCTGGGTTTGAACCCACCAGCCTCCATGTATGTGGCTGGTACCCTACCCAATGAACTATGGGCACCACCCTGTTTCTCTATTTTTGAGATAAAGGCTTGCTGTCACCCAAGTTCAAGTACAGTGTCCCAAGCAGAGCTCACTGCAATCTCAAACTAGACTCAAGCCATCCTCTGGTCTCAGACTACAAGTAGCTAGGAAGACAGGCACATACTACCAAACCACACCTGGCTCATTTATTTTTATTTTTTGTAGAGATAGGGTCTCACTATATTACCCAGGCTAATCTAGAACTTGCCACCTTAATCTGTCCTCCAGCTTTGACCTCCCAAAGTGCTAGGACAGCAGGTATGAACCACCTTGCTCAACTGTTGAACTTAATTCTTTTTTTTTTTGAGACAGAGTCTCACTATGTCACCCTTGGTAGAGTGCTGTGACATCACAGCTCACAGCAACCTCCAATTCTTGGGCTTAAGCGATTTTCTTGCCTCAGCCTCCCAAGTAGCTGGGACTACAGGCATTAGCCACAACACCCGGCTATTTTCTTATTGCAGTTGTCATTGTTGTTTAGTTGGCCAGGGCCAGCTTGAACCTGCCATGTTTGGTGTATGTGGCTGGCACCATAACCACTGTGCTACGGGCTCCAAGACCTGAACTTAAATCCCCTTCCCCCTACAAGTCATTGCCCTGGGTAGAGTGCTGTAGCATCATAGCTTACAGCAACCTTCAACTCCTGGGCTCAAGTGATTCTCCTGCTTCTGCCTCCCAAGTAGCTGGGACAATAGGCGCCCACCGCAATGCTGGGCTATTTTTTGGTTGCAGCTGTCATTGTTGCTTGACAGGCTGGGGCTGGATTTGAACCCACCAGCTCAGGTGTATGTGGCTGGTGCCTTAGCTGCTCAAGCCACAGGCACTGAGCCTGAACTTAAATTTTTTAATGTGGATTACAAAATTTAAACATTATAACCAGTTGTTGGTGCCCTCACATTAACCTGAAATAAAAAATAATAATAAAATAAAACGTGGGTTATGCTGGCATGCTGGGAGGCTAAGGTGGGTGGATTACATGAGCTTAGAAGATGGAAACCAGCCTGAGCCAAAGCCAGACCCCATCTCTACTAAAAGTAGAGAAACTAGTCTGGTGTTGTGGTGGGTGCCTGTAATCCCATCTACCAGGGTGCTGAGGCAAGGGGAACACCTGAGCCCAAGAGTTTGAGGTTGCTGTGAGCTAGGACACTACAGCACTCTACCCAGGGCAGACTCTGTCTCAAAAATATATATATGGGGCCAGCGCCCTACTCCTTTGAGCACAGACGCCACCCTCAAAAATATAATTAATAAATTTAGTGCTTTCCTGAGTTCTCTGAGTTCTAGTAAAGTACCGAACCTGAAGGGTTAGTGATCAGAAGTGATCACTGGGATGCTAAATTTGCAACTTAGAATGAGGGAAATCTTGTAAGGACTGTGCCCTTAAATTTTGCAATTTGACCTAACTTTGGGTAGTCAGTTCAGAAGTCATTACACCACTTAGTAATAGGTAGCTATTATATTATCTTAATAATATGTAGTTACAACCTCAGGATAGGGAAAGTTTTAGTACAAGCATACATCAGAGATATTGCAGGTTCAGATGCAGACTACTGAAATAAAGTGAATATTTCAATAAATCAAAAGTCACGTGAAGTTTTTGATTTCCTGGTACATATAAAAGTTATATTTACACTATGCAGTAGTCTATTAAATATGTGATAACATTATATCTAATAAAACAATGTAATGCCAGCATTAAAAGGTACTTTATTGCTAAAAAATGTTAACCATCATCTAAGCTTTCAATGAACCTTAATGTTTTTGCTGGTAGAGGGTCTTGTCTCAGTATTGATGGCTGTTGACGTGATCAGGGTGATGGTTGCTGAAGAAATGGCAATTTCTTTTTTTTTTTCTTTTTTTGTACTTTTCATCCAGGGCTGGGTATGAACCCGCCACCTCTGGCATATGGGGCCAGTGCCCCACTTCCTTGAGCCACAGGCACCACTAAGAAATGGCAATTTCTTTTTTTCTTTTCCTTTATTTTTTTTTAAGAAACAGAGTCTCTCTTTATTGCCCTTGGTAGAGTGCCATGGCGTCAAATCTCACAGCAACCTCCAACTCCTGGGCTTAGGCAATTCTCTTGCCTCAGCCTCCCAAGTAGCTGGGACTACAGGTGCCCACCACAACGCCCGGCTATTTCTTGTTGCAGTTTGGCTGGGCTGGGTATGAACCCGCCACCCTCAGTATATGGGGCTCTTGTCCTACTCACTGAGCCACGGGCGCCGCCCAAAATGGCAATTTCTTAAAAGACGGCAACAGTGAAGTTTGTCCCATCAGTTGACTCTTCTGAAGCAGAGTCAGTAGAACATCTTTTGAAATTGGAGTCAGTCTTCTCCAATCTTCCCAGTCTTCTGCCACTGCTTTTTCAACTAAGTTTATATAATATTCTAAATGCTTTATTGTCATTTCAACCTTTTTAGTTCCAAGATTTCTGTTTGATTTTATTTTAAATTTCTCTGACAAATTTCTGAATTACTGCTCTGTTTTATTTTGGAAATTGCTGAGTTTCCTTAAAACTGAAAGTTAGAATTCTTGATCAGAGTTCGCATATTGCCATCTCCTTAGAATCAGTCACTGGTTCCTTGCTTTGTCTGTTGGAGGAGGTCAGGATTCCCTGTTAGATATTTCTTGTGGCTACACATCTATGTCTTTGTATTGAAATATTAGTTCTTTATTCCAGTCTTCTCTGTCTGGTCATTTTGGGTTTTGTTTCACATGTTTTCTTAGAGATTCTTTGTAATTTACCTATTGTATTCTTTCATTTTTCTTCCCAGCTAGATTTCTGCCTATTTTTTGGCACTAAATGGCACCCAAAACCCAAGTTTGCCTTGGTTCTTATAGACAATCAGAGTACTGCTGCCCTTGGTAAGTAGAGGAGATCCCAGAGGGGAAATCCTGGTAATGTGATAAGACTGTCTAGTTGTTTGTGCCCAAGGGACCTGTGGAACAAACCACCTACAGTGTGCTGCTGAACAGCCTTTCTGACTTGGCATCTCCTTCGGCCAACTTGCAAAGCAGTTTCCAGGACTGGGGACGATAGTTCCACTTTTTCCTTTTGTCTCTGGCTGTCCTTAGGAATATTTCTCTCTTCAGTTACTCCTGATGCGCCAC